TAAGAAAAGGAGAGAACAATCGAGAGGCGAGAAAAAGCCAAGACAGAAGAAATCGACGATGAAACGACTAAGTCGATGAACCGTCGATTAAAGATCTCTCGAAAGGTACACAAAGTCGAATGTCGATGGTTGTTACGAAGGGACAGTCGTTGGTTGACAGGACCCGTTCCAGCCAAATCGAAAGACCCAATCTGCTGGAAAGTGTCCGAATACGAAAAAAAAAAGAGCGGAAGATTCTCTCTGTTTGTTTGTCGCTCGAGCAATAATGCGTATTTCAAAGATAGAATGATCGATATCAGCACGAGATCGTTTCAGAGATGGTAAATCATGTTCGAGAAGAGACGTTAATCGGTGATATTTTGTTAACTTAACGGGAGACTCTTAAAAAAACAATTTGGATATCTTATAATGTAATTAAGTAAAAATTGGCTCTCTTTCTCTAATATTCTTATTGAGAATAAGAGTCGAATCTCATAGTTTCAATTATATTCATTTTTATTTAATTTTTAAGGCAAGTAGCAACTATCTCTAATTTCATATCACATAATATTCAAACATATATTATCAACGTGTCTCTAAATACTTTTGAAAACATATTCACAAAAGTGCAGATAGTAGATGATTTAAAACAACTGTCGTCATCTGCATGAAGTACCTATATGTTTAACGATCGTACTATGTACTATATGTTTATGATCACCGAGCACGATACGATTAATGCAAAAAGTAAAAAAAAGAAATTATAGATGAGCATCAACGCAAGGTAATACGAAACATTGTCACTCCTTTTGAAAAAGAAGGTAGCGATAATGTCGAGGAAGTATATATTTAGTCAGCAAGGTGAAGAGGGCTCGTTCGGTGAAAAACAAAAGTTGGGGTATCACACGCGAAATAAATTTTACGAGAGCTGCACTGTCGCCGTATATGCTGGTATATTTACCTCGTCCATAACACACACGGCGCGTAGTTCCTCGAGGCCGTGTATCGCAATCGGTCAGCCAAGCCGAGATAGAATCTTTTATAACCACTGCGGGGAGGAACGTGTTTATATCCGCGAGCGATTGCAACACGATATGTTAATGCCCCGAGCCGTGCTCTTCCCACGTATCAGCGGTGTGTGCGCGTTTCCAACCCGTCCTGGAAAACATTCCGGACTGACACACGTGACGTCTCCATCGAAGCTTTCATGAAAGTGTCACTGGACGATGGATGAGACGACATAAATGTCGTGTAGCGGTGAACATTTAAAAAACGAATGTCAAATGTATCGCTCGCATTCTGATTTTATTGTATCTACGTCCATTGATCTAGAATAAATGTGATGTACCAGTTTGTATCTCTCATATACGATACTCTCTACGCCACGGTTTAAAGCCGAGCTCGTAACCTTTTCCGAGCAATTTTTTCGAAAGAATATGAGCGTTTCGGAAATTTTATCGGCTATTGTCAAAGTAATAACTATTAAGTAACGCCGACAATTTCGCGAATAATATCGCCGGAGAGTTTAGAGAAACGTTTCCTTGCGAGTTATAGCACTAAAAACCACCGTGAGATTATTATTTAACGAATGATGGAATACAAATTAGGTCCGTCGATGCGCGATGATATCGTTGTCAGTCATCGTGGCGAAGTGGGAGGCATCCAAAAAAAAAAAAAAATGTTCATGATGATATCTCGCAGCAAACAAGCTGGCACGTTAATGAAGACCCACAGTGTGAAGAAAGGAACGAGAAGAACCGCGAATAGATCGAAAGGAAGAAGAAAAACGAACCGAGCAAATACCGTACGATGACAACCCCGGATGTGTCGATAACATCTCGACATTAAGTAACCAGCCAACGCAAGTAACTCACGTTGTATGTAAGTGTAAGAAAATCTACATGCGTCAATATTCACTATTTACGAAGGGATGAAACTTCTAAAGAGGATTAAGTAACCTAAATAATCCATATTGTCGCGAGATGCACACAGATGAGCGCCATCGACATTTTTATTTAATACTTCAAGATTGCAGCCCTTTATCATTACATTTGATAATGCAATTAATTGCGACGCGAATTTCACGATACTAAGTACATCATCACCAGTTTTTTCATGATTCAATTTTGTTTTAATTTAGTTATCATTAAATTTATTAATAAAAATTGACAAAAAAAGAGTAACGCTGTCTTGCTTATCGGAGCTAAATCAATTTATCATTTAACGACGTTTCGGAATTTCGGAACACATTTATGCGACGCGAGGCGGCGATTATTCGTTGCAGTTGTTAATGTATTCGACACTCGTATCGTTTCCTCGCTTCTCGAAGCCCGTGAACGTGCTTTCGCGTTAATGACATACACGTACGTCGCAATAGCGTTGCGATTAAGAGATACGAGATACGCGACATAATGGATAGCAATGCATTGTTAGTTCTTTCGATTTTTGCCATTTTTTAATCACGCGTGTACGTAAATCGAGAACGAAAATGTTATGTCGTGTGCGCGAAATTTAATAATCTCATTTGATATAACAATTCAACTGATATAAATAATTATAAATACAGTCTTATCATATGGCTGCTAATTTATGTTGACAGGCGTGATTTGTCTAAGCTCGATGGTATTTCCGCGAATCTAATATGTGTACCAATTAAGTTCTTTTAACACCTTTAATCGATTACATGTTATTAAATAAAACATGTATATTCACGTTCATTACATCCGCACGTTTTCCCGTTTTATAAAAGGACAATTTGCATTTCCCGAGACGTCGACTGCGTTGATCAGAATAGCTATCGGATCATGCTTATATAAGAAAAACAGAAGGACGAGGAGAGAACGTATCTTTACGGACGTTCTCCAAACGCGCTATCGTCGCTCGGTGAAAGCGCCAATTGCGGATTATCATGTTCCTGTCGCTGCGCAGGAGAGCCATCAATTTTTTTTCCTCTCTCACAATCTCGCGTGCGTCAACGGTTGCGCTTTCCACATAGTGGCCACGTGCGAAACTCTCGGGTTCTACGCGCTCTCACGACAGATCTCGCGCGCGGAGATTGATATCTGGTCACGAACTAGCAGTAGCCCGTGCGCGCAATACACGCACGTTCAATTCGTGGATATTAAATCTGAAGATGACTTAACATTGTCGGATATGTGCTACATGTGTATGAGAAAGCGAGAAAAAAATTTTATCTTTAAAGAACTTCTCAACTAGTAGGAAGATCTCGTATATTAGGTAACGTACATTATTCGTTTCTCTTCCACAAAATTGGTTTCCTTATATGCTTCTAAATATGCTCTTTATATATTTTTGTTTTAATTAACATTTAGAAATATTCATTTTAAATACCATCGATAAACAAAATTCCTATTAAGCGATGTCATTACCTTGATGGAGATAAGAATTGGCCATAAGTTATTTTGTATGTTGGAAATAGCAGGAGGACATATTATCCTTCATTTATCATATCTCTTCGTAAGTAAGACATAAGAACAATAGCAATTTAACGATTATACTTACGATCATACAATTCCAAACCTTGCGAATATTACTTTCTAAAAACATTAATTTGAATCACTTATGTTTTTATGCCAATTACGGATATGTCATATAGATAAATGATATTATTAGGCCATTCACCTTACAAAGCAAGAGTCATGAACTTGTACGACTAAGTGTACTAGTAAGTGCTTGGCGAAATTAAAAGGACGGTAGGCACGTGCTGAAAGAAACTCGCGCGCAAGACCCTCGTCAACATTTTTCCGCGACAAATCTCGCACAGCAGATTCGTATCTCGTCACGAAATGGCCGTTGCACGCGCTCCATTTGCATCGTCGAATATTATAGCAACAACGAAGATGCAACAAGACTGTTTCTTAACTTGAACGTTGCGCGGCACCATTTCAGAAACTACCATTCATTATTTCCTCCTCTCTCGTTCTCTCTTTCACTGATTATCAGTCATCATCGGTTTCATCTTCTCGCCCAGTCGTCCGTCGTTTGGCGTAGCTCGCACTTATGATTGTTATTGATCAACCGTTTTGTTTCTCGCCTGCGTACACGTATGTATGTGCGTGCATGCCCGGCCGAACTGGCACGCTACGCGGCACTATAATGTTGGCACGACAGAACGAATATAGAGAACGGCGGACCTTAATGAATCTTTATGGGATGATGTCGTGAACTTGTATACCCTCCGGTGACTGACTGAACCCGGTCGCGTTTTAACCATTGGCGCGGTTCGTCCGTTACTACCGAACTTTTCCTTCGGTACTATCAACAAACATTCTCGTTATTACACGCTAACGATAGAATAAATCGTAGCAAATATAGAGAAATACATTTTTCTTCATATCGCAGTAAAACAACAAATAACAAAGTGTCTTTCTGCAACGAAATATTCGTATAAATACAGTAGGACTAAAAAAGTGTAATCTATATGTATAATACTGTGCCAGTATAGTTTGGAAAAAAACGTTATTTGCTTAAAGAAATAAAGCATAATAATTTATTATTGTTGTACAATAGTATTCTCGTTGATTACGCCAATGCGACAAACTGTTCATTAGGCTCGACGGTGGCTTCGCCACGAGTTTGATGGTATAGACGCTCGCGTCCGTGTTCATAAAATTTGAAGGGCGTGTAGAAGCGGTCCGTGGGGTCCCAACTAGTCGCGCGTCTTGATTGTCATCAACTCGTTGTTCGTCGCGTGATATTGTCATTAGCCCGCCTAGCCGTCGTCACCCGCGTGAGTCGTGCCTGGACATGTTTCTCGCCCCCACGCGCGGGACCTACTTTAAGTTCAATCGATCCAAAAATTTTTTATAACTCGTCACCTACGCGCACGTATATTTAACCCAACGTGACCTTTACATCCAATACTGAATTAGATATTTAAAAAAAGACAACTACTACGTGTTGTTTATCGTTACAAAATAAATTATAATACGTATAACGCAAATAAAAATTTATGCTTAATATGTTGTTACATATTTCTCCTTTACAATGATCAAACTTACCTGGGTCCGATGAATCCAAGCTGGCTGGCGCTTGCTGGCTGAGAGGTCCAGGTGTACCACCACTTCCGGGGCTGCGGGCATCATCGTTAGCACCCGCGCCGGGATACGAAAGCGACGAGGAAGGCGGCCTCTGAAATACAGAAAAGCGCGCATTTTTTTACATCTACATTTACAAATTTATTTCTCAAATTTCTCGTACTTTAGCTTTCTCTTTCTTAATATTAACTACATGCGCGCGTCACATCGGTATCGACTTCATCTAGACGATTTAAAAAATATTGACATTTGAAAATCAATCACCGTCTGTTGCAAAACGTTGATATTGCTTTTTTATATATTATTTTCATTTTCAATAGTTTTGTTTCATGTAAATAAAAATTGCTAGTTTGTGAAGCGCATGTCACGCTAAACGTACGTCGAAAATTTTTTCGTTGTCTTTGCTGAACACATACATACTCTAGGTATTCTTTTTAATCGCATATATTATATAAACAATAATGAACATCATGTAAAAATAACGTGACTGATTTGATTGATAAAGTATTCGACTTTTTGAATAAGACAAAATTAAAATTAATGGATACTTACAATACACTATTTTGGTGTATGTACTAAAAAATAACATAAATTTCATATGTGACAATCTTGCGTTTCGCGGGTTTTCTCCGTGTTTAGATCCATTCTTGGAATGCCAACGTTTCGTGAACCTTGCAGTTCACTTCATCAGGGCGAGGAGCAGCCTGATACAGGATCTAAACACGGAGAAAACCCGCGAAACGCAAGATTGTCACATAGGTAACACCCGTGAAAGCCTCAAGAATATTAATAAATTTCATATAATTCTACGAAATATATATTTATCAAATTAATATATGATGCAACATTTAAACAATTTATATTACCGAGCATTCCAAAATAATTCATCGTGACATAGAACGTCTCGTTAATTTTTAATGGTCTTTAATATACTCTTTCCGAATTCTGATTCTCAAAAAAAAAATTTCGCGATTTGTCGCGTATACCCTGTACACTGACCATTGATGATCCACGCGTGCGTCAAGCCGATTTCGATCTCGATTAAAGACGGAGCACACGTATCTCTCCACGAAAATGCTGCCGGCATACTTAAATGATTCGGGGGAGCCCGACAAGACGCGCACGACTTACGAATCAACGGATTTACTGGGAGAAGTCGCGTGCGCGACGAATGTCTGCCGTAAATATTCAATCGTTTATTCCGTAGGTGTAGTCGTGTGATAATGACGCTCGTAGAGAATCTCTCTCCGTAGGAGGAAAGAAACGAGACGTCTACGGATCTGCGTCGGGACACGCGCGGAATTACTTTCGCGCGCGGAACGTAAGTTTGTTTTACGAATCAGTTCGACGGCAATGCACAAAGCACTGTACGTAAAAATACGTGACTGCAGTTATAACATATAAATGACCAATGAACGAAATAAATAAAAAAATATTGAAATTGTTTATGAATGTGCATGAATAAAATTTTCATAGGATAACAAAGGAAAAAAACATCAATGAGTTCAACCAACTTTCTCCCTTGGCACGAATTACTTGGCAGTATACAAATAACAAATCGTAGATCGATCAATCTAAGGCAATTCGTTGATTCTCGCTAACGTATTCCGAAGTGTTATTAGTGTTATTACAGCCACGGCGCGGCGGGATGGCACAGCACTCATTGAATGATTCTTCATAACGATCGTACACGATGAACGAACGGTTCCTCCTCAGGGTCATTGACTTCGTTTTTCAAACAGATTCGAGCACAAATTTTTCCGCTCAAATAATATATCTTAATAGCGATCATTTTAAACGTAACTTTCTGTACTTTTTATAAAACATACATTTAAAAAAAAACACGATATTTGACAGTTTATTGATCTCGTCCCGCCGCGAGGTTGAAGGGCAAGAATTTGAAGCAGGCGAATCTCTCGATATCACGAAGCGAAATGTCTGGGTGTACCAAGTCTGGCCAGGCAACAATGAGTGACAGCTACTCCCACATGCTGTCATAAGCGTCATCTTCGCGATAATATACCAACTCGCTCCCTCCCTCGATTGCCTGCTCTGGTATCTCGTCTGAAATCGTTACGCGGTCAACTCTAGAGGATTTGCTAGAGCAGAGACGCGTCACATGAATTTATTGGTTTACAGAAGTTAGCATGAACTGTTTAAAAAAAATTTTTTTGTGAAATGTAACGAACAATAGATAAATTATAAAAGTATTTATATAGTATAGTATATATTACACGAGAGTTCTTGTAAATAAGAATAAAAATGACTTTGACTAAAAAAAGTAATTTTGAATATTTTATAAAATAAAGATATGTGACTCTTCATATTCGAGAAAATAGAAAAATATGAAAAATTTTTTGCTTTTTAAATGTGTTTAAGAACAAATAACTTAAATTTTTAAACGAAATAAATGACTAGGAGACAAATATAGTGTAAAATATATGATAATGTATATGAGTATGTATGCATTTTTATACATACATATAATGATAACTCAGAAAGAGATTCACATGAAATAATTAAATAATGATTTTCTTATCAGAAAATCTCAAACAAGCACACAGTGTACATGAAATAAGAAGATACTCTTTGATTTGATTAATTGCTCACGATCCTTGAATGACTATTTATTCAGGGTATACTCACCGATAGATTGCATGAGCAAGTAAATACGAGAGTGGTAACGAGTAAGGGGACATTAATAATGCATTGGTCGTCGTCGGACCGTTTCCTACTAGCACCTAACGCAAAACGAAAGATCATGGTTGTCAAAGCGGATAATCTTCAATTCGTGCTTACAATAATTAGTCGAGCGATATCATTTCAATGAGACTAACCTCGAAAAAGATTGTGTCAAATTAATCGAAAACTCGTGCGATAACCGCTGGAATTCTTGAGCAATTTCTCAGACATTATTAGGGACATCGTTAATTTTACCTATTAAGATCGTGAAACGACAACGCAATTAACGACACAATTATTGAGGATATTGTGGAATGAATATTCTCATTAAATTATCATCATCCGGTCGACAAACTTGGGTCGTACGATGAAAGCTGTATAGTGAAGCTGTTTACGTCGCGTTTAGAGAGATATAGCTCACGGCACCTATACCTTCAAAGCTGACGTCACTTCCTACTAAAAGCTGAATCGCCGTTTTTTAAGTGGCCAGTAGGGTCCACCGCGTGACTCGTGTCGATGCAATGATAAACGGTTAACGGGTCGACGAGCTACGCGCTCTCGTTCCACGTCGTTGCCTCTCACTCGCACGTTCATCACGTCGTCCATCTCTGTTTGTATCTGCCAGACCGTCTACTACGGGCACTCTTAAAGTGTAATTCGACAAACCGGATGTCTGGCCTGGCCCTTAAATAAATCAGTTGCCCGCATCTCATATTCCACCCCCGCTCGTTTATACCGTACGTTTCCTTCCCGTTGAGGAAAAATGTCTCTTCAGAACTACGAGAATGCGTCCTTGAGAGGAAGTAATAGTCATCGAGGAACCCCTCGAAAGAGCGATCTGCGAAATCTACGCGAAGGAGGAAAAGTGAAATCTCGAAGCCCGAGTAGCAGCATTAGGCAATATCGGTTTGCGCTCTGACGCATTCCCGTATTGTTACAGCCGTCATTATGATATGAAATGTTTCGTGGAATGCGTAATATCCCACACGAAACGTACGTTTTGTGCAAGTGCGAGCGATTGGAACTGGGAATCGCTTGTGGGATATTCGCCGTAAAGCATAACCGACGCGACGCGCGTTCACTGTCATCCTCACGGACGATAAATTACGATCGCTTATCGATGCGGCATATGCATCGTATGTGTATTCGGTGATTTGAAGCATGACATTTTGCGTGGAATCGCATGAGATCGCGAAGAAACGTAACTTATTATCGCGCAAATCGCGTTTTTGAATCATTGTACGTACATATTAATTGACCGTCGTAACATAATGCCATATAATTATGTAATTAGAGGCCAAGCATTAGTCTCGCTGACTGGTTTACGGGCGAGATATGTAAATCTCTGCAATTAATTTATTGGTGCTCAAGAGCTCGAGAGAAGGCTAAGAGAACAAGACATAAACGATGCGGACGGGGGCGATAAAGACGGAGAAACTAGCAGATCCAAGTCGGACAGAGTAGCAGACTGGACAGAGACAGCGATAGATTATGGAAGTAAGACAAGCACATTGTAAGTATGCCCATCGACTGGACCCAGATCAAGAGTCTCTGTCTTCTTACTCGTTCCGCAGAGCGGAATAAGAATAGATAGAAACGTAGACAAGAGAGAGAAAGCAAGTAAAAATAAGACAGAGAGACGAACTCAAAAGAAAGAGAGAAAGAGAAGAGAGTCTAGTCTCTGTCTGTGTAGTCTTGAATTTCTCGGCGATACCGGCGGGCGTATATAGGGATCATAAATTACAATTTATTGCAGTGGCAGCGCCTCCGCTCGGCGGATTATCTTACCGTTATGTCAGCACACTACAATTATATTTACATTTCCTTCGTAATGGAATATCATGCCAGCATCGTAACCGTCCAACCGAACTAATCGAGACATATCTGAGATGAATTTTCAAGGTAACTAAGCTACCTGCCATAGAAGTTATAACATCGACTTAATCGTTGTTCTTAAAACATCCTCAAAAGAAAAACTGATAAATTGTCTAAACATTCAAATCGATACAAAATCATCACGATAATTCCATCATAATTTTCATAATCTCAGAAATGACGTAACATACACACTTAATATTGAGTAAAAAGTTATATGTACTCGAATAATTTTAATAAGACCAAAAGAGATTATCTCCTTTCGTCGATTATATTCAGGTTATAAATATTTTTCGTAACGGATTTACGGTGCAAAAAAGTAAAAAAATGTGCTGTAGGTGGGAGTTTAGAGGCACTAACTACATATAGCCACAAGTTTCAAGCGATTAAATGGCCACGAGTTTAAACCTTAACAAGGTGTACACCTGACTGAGGAATGATTTTAAAACGATCGTATAAACGAAACAAATTTATGGTTGAGATGAGAAGAGACGAGAGGAAGAGTGAGCGACGTGTTAGATACAACACGAAGGAGAA